ACAAAGAAATATTATTGTTTTAATAATAACATTCTAATAATAATATTCAAATACTGAAATATTAGAATATCTTCTAAAAAATACGCAGTAGATTCACAGCAATGGAATATTAAACTATTTCCAGCTCTAATATCTAATCCTAGCATTTTCCACGTGGCAACGGAGGCCTGTATGCTATCATATTGCCATAGCATGTTAATCCTGTCACCTGTCTGTTAGCCTGTTATCTCTGATGCTTCTCTTGTAAGAGATATCTACACCTGAAATGCACGTGAGTGAGGATCCTTAAAGATAACCACTGTACAACGAAAGCCCTACAATTTTCTTACAACTCCCTGAACCAAGAAATAAAAGAAAAATATGAGGGGAGAAAAAGGTAGCATGAAGTTGTGAATAGAGTATACATATAGCGAAGAATTGAAGGATTAAGTGACGGACCCAGGTGGATGAGAAAATAAATTGAGAAAGACCGTAACGACGTGAGAACTGAAAATAATACTCAGAATTCTGAAGAATTAAAATAGCATAGAGGAAAATAGAGTTCGAACATCTACGTTTAGTTGATCCCTCGTGTAGTGTCTGAAATTTTAACGTCGCGTTCTGAAAAAGGAAAACAAGTAAGAAGAAATTTAGTCGAAGTTACTTTCCTGCAGCGTCGCAACGCGATTCTTAGGGATTTAGTCGACGCGTATGCCATGGAGCTTCCTATTTTTCCATAATTAGATGCTCAAGCTCGAAGATCGCCGTGGGGAAATCTTCTGTCGTCGACAATTTCACGAAATACTTGGTTCGCTGAAATCTTCGATGATTCGACCTTTAAACATTCTTGGAGTTCGTTTAAGCTTCACACGATTATGCGTATAATTAATAAAAATATAGACTGACACGGAGGATGCTTTCGTTCACGAGTTTCCATTTTTTTAACACGCCCTATTCGACCAACTATAATACCAAACCGAGGGACCCAGCGCATTGTAGCCGAATAGTTAAAAGACATCGCGAACCGCCTCGACATCGCGCAACCCTTTCACCGCCCAGGCTCCAAATGGGGAAGTAATCGTCCGAGAGAAAAAAATGAACAGTGGCCCCCCTCGTCCACAATGGTCGAAGACACTCGTCGCGGAGTGAAAAACGGTCAGCTGGCGGAGGCTTGTTTTCCCGGAGCTTCACGCAGCGTTTGGCATAGTTTTCACTCTTGACGTGCATGATCGCCCCCGTCGGAAGAGGCACGCGCGCGATAAGCGGGGCAGAAAGAGGGAAGGGTGAAAGACGGGAGGGTGAGCGTGTGATTTCGTACGTGTGCCGTGTACGTGTGTCTCGGTGCACCCTCACGAGGGAGGACGAGTGTGTGCGAGGCCGAGTCTCATACAGTGTCCTCCGCTTTTCAACCAGCTAGGCGCGCACGTTCGATACTCCGCTGTTGTACACATCCGCACGCGCGCGCGCTCGCCCACGGGCGCAACACACGTGCACGCATACGCACGCAGAGGCCAGGTCAGCGCGCGTAATCCATGCACCCGCGTGCAGCCCGCACTTGTACGCTATGCAGAATCAACTCCGGAGCCAGCGAAAAGCGACGGTACGCGCCAAGAGCCACCGAATGGTCATCGACGTTCGCGTGGCGCAATGAACATCACTATGCCTCGCTATCGCACTTAATGCTGCCATAAGTTTGATTGGCTCAACGATTCAACTATTTCGATGAGTGACTACAATCGCTCGCCGCAGAGCTTTGTACATTTATTCCGTGGTGCCATTTTTATTGGGAAGGTATTTCTCCGTTTATATTCTGTTTACGTTCTGTTTATTCTAAGTAATTCTTACGTTTATGGTTACAACTTGGAGTTCAAATTACTCGCGAAGGGTATTATTGTTACGCATGGATGCTCGCTCCGATTTGTGCAAGCTTAGGTTCTGATGATATGATGATACGCTCACTGTCGACATCTTCAAATAATAGTATGTGGTGTAGTACAGTGTTTTCCAACAGGTGCGAAGCGATATAAGGCCTGTGTCGAAAGTCTGAGGGTGGCAAGGTAAATTGTTTTACCTTGACTCAGACTCACTGAGTACGTAAAGATCTTAATCATTAACAGTCGAAACTGTAGAGTGCAAGTTACACCTAAACGCTAAGAGGTCTCTTTAGAAGTGTGAGAACTCGATAATATCGAAGTTAGTCACATCGTCTCGAACGAACTCATTACTTGATCCAACATTAACTCGTTAACCAACTTCACTTGGCTGGTCTTCGCGAGAAATTCACAACTTCGCCAAGCTAATGATTTATAGACTACTCATCATTTTTCCTTGATGTGTCTGCGACCATTCAATCGGTGCTATTTGATCTGGGTTAGGTCTGACTTTACTTGAAAAATATCAGTCTATCAAGAACATTCATTTATGAACTAATATTCTGTACTTTTATTTTTAATGCATGTTGTACTTGCCTGTTAATTCTGAAGGAACAAGGACTACTTATATGAGTATCTGTTTATGGTTAAAAGCAAATAAAAATTTTTAATCTATTACGGTTTTCAGTTTTTCTTTCCTGTTGTTACACGACAGCTGCACCCATAATTAAAATGCATTATGTATAGTGAAGAAACCAATCGAATTTATAATTTTTAAAGTTCAGAATAGAGAATCATTCGCGAAGTGAACAAACTCTCGATTTAATCCGTGCTTAATATCAGTACGTACGGTGTACTCGATCCATTGTCTCCGTGACACTGATTAGATTCGTGTACGAAGTGAAATTGGCCCAGATTCAATTAACGGCTGTCTTGTTAGAAGAAATTAATCGAGACGAATGAAATTTACACCACGGAAATAGAAGCCACTATACTCTTCCGGGGTGAATTACATTTCGGAATACAAAGCACATATCCGAGAGATAGTTATGTTAGACAAACGTTTGAGATACACATTCTTCGTCATTTTATTAAATATAAATATAGTACAGTTTGCATATTGAAAGTAATAGCAAACTTGAAATAAAGCGTTGTTATAATTGAGTGCAATTTTATGATTCTCATTTAACATTTACTATTTACTTTACGCAATCTGAACCACAGCTTTCCCTCAGAGGTTATGCAACTCTTCAGAGAGCCCAAGGTATCGTGTAATTAACTCGAAGAAATGACTTTTTGAGTAAAAGGAATATATTTCACTGCTTTGAAAGAAAATACCAAAAACTAATTACATGTCGACATCTCCTTATTTTATACTAATGCATTACTTTTCCGAGTTATCAGTTATATTATATGCACGAACAACGTATCGCTAAATAAATTATTTGGTATTTAATTCTACATCTCTGGAAATCAATCCCACTGTACTACGTATGACGAGCCTGAGAAAACCGCGTGGGTGAATTGGGCACACCGGTTTCCCGGGGATGCTTTCAAACGCCCACGCTGGCGCGATGGTACACACAGAAGATGAACGAAGATTGTTTACGACAACGAAGTCCAATTAATCAAACGTTTCGCGAATTACAACGAGAGGATGATGACAGTGGCGAGTCCGGTATCGCGTCAATTAGAATCTCTCTCAATCGGAAGCTAATTGTTCCCTGAAGAATTGTCGTCGGACCACGGGTTGCTCGCTGGTTCACGTTCCTTTTTGTTGACAAACGCTTCCTGACGGGCTCGCCCCGTGGAAACTACCGCGAGACGGAAAACTCGGTCGAGGGTTCGCTCGTTGACGAAATTTAACAAAAATATTCTCCAGTTAGCGTGTAAATATTTATATGGCGCTGATCTCGCGCCAGGGCGTGCACGTTCGAGTTTACAAACAGAAATCAGCGTGTTAACAAGAAGCCGTACGCGTCGCATAGAAAACGTCGCCCGGTGACGTCAGAGGCAACACGTTACGTAGCAAAGCAACACCTTCGCGTTTCTGCGCCAGTCGTCTACAGTACTCGAAGCGAAACTGATGGATTGAATTGTGTTCGACCCACCTCCCTCTTTCGCGACAATATCAAATGTTCGCTGACTCGTGACAGTCCTCTGCGAGCGGTGTGAACTTAATTTCAGGCGATGATTAGTACATTGCGAATGCTTTTGACAGGTAAGAAGATGGAAAATGTACGAGGATATGCGCGACTGCAAAAATACATACAATATCAACAATATAATGTATGTTACTCTGTTTAGCAGATGAAACACAGATTCATTTAAATCTCGGTATATGAATATGAATTTGCATAAACATTCGCAAACTAATGATTATATATTCACAATAACAGTTCGCGCGTAGCTTCTGTACGACAGGATTTACAGCGTAATGGGAGTAACTCAGGACTAGACAGCGGATGTTTATGCAAATTCATATTTTTAAAAATACACGAAAGAATTGAAATTTAAATAAAAGTATGTCTTACTGATGACATTGTATATATTTCTGTATTTTTGCACATTTTCAAACTTTCATTCTCAAATGTATGTAAACCACTCATAACACATAACTGTACTTTGAACAGAGTCAGAATTGGTCAACGAAATATTCCACGTTCACGTAACTTCGAAGTTGCGGTACGTAAACATTGTCAAAATTTCGCACGCAAATACCAAGAGCCTTTATTATAAATCACGGTCCCATTTCGTTTCCTCGAATCACTGTCGATCATTCAAAACTGTTCCAACCTGTCCAGGAGTGGTTCCCTGGACACTGTCGCGGTTTCAGGTATCGGAGTTGACCTCGAACGCATATCCTAGTGACCTGAGCGTATCAAGCGTGTCGAGCTCGATGGATGGAAATGCGGACAGTCGCAGGACGCAAAGACAGACATAAAGAGAGAGAGACAGAGAGATGAACAGGAAGAAGGTAAATAAACCGACAGACAAGAGAAAATCGATTGGCCATAGTGGCTAAACCGGTGGACCGTTCGCGTACACGAGAAAAGCGATCGTCTCTAGGACGAGGGCCTGTTACGACCCTACGGGCAGACATAAATCTGCCAGGCCGCAACACTAATCTAGAGGGAGGATCTTACTTACCGAATGCAGCCAGGGCTATAAACGCTATCAAAGTCCAACGTCTCATGTTTGCACGATTGAGGAATCGGAGCGGCTAGCTCCTTCCTCGATCACCACCACCTCCGCCACCACCGGCTTCTTCTCCGCCTCCTCCGCCTCCTCACCGTTCGGTTGTCCTCGCACGTGGCTGCAGACGCGTCGGACAGAAACGGTACCACTCGTATCGTAGGCACTCGGAACTCCCAAGAAGTCGAGAATTGACCGTTCGTCCTACGGTCTTCTCAGGGTCCACCCGAACGTGCGTGTCTCGAACACACCAATAGCATCGTTTTCTCTCTATCAGGGGCACGTGACAGTCTCCGCGGACCTGCAGCGTGTCCCCGCGCGACAACCCCGCACGCACTAAGCTCCGATGACGTTTTGCCTTCGCGCGGCATCGTCGTTTGGCATCGAGGACATCTCTTCTTCGTCTCTCTCTCTCGCTTGCTCGTTGTTACTCTCGACCTGGCCCAGCGACTGATTCCTTCCACCGAGCTACGGTTCCCCCTTTTTTTTTTTCTCCTCGAAAATGGTGCAGTCGTCGCGCAATACCACGGACAACTCGCGCTCTTCGACGCGTCACAACGCGAAACAGCTAATCCGCGAACCGATTCGCCCGATCCTCGCCGAATCTCGGAGCGCGTCTGACTATCAGAACCGTGACGCCAGCTCGGTCGACATCCCTTCTCCCTCGATCCAGTTTCCGGTTCAACGCTTGTTCGCGGACGTTCGATTTCCCTAATATCCTCGGATGTCCCGTATCCTGTCACAGGGTTGTCAGATGCGCCCTCGCCGGCGACCAACGCTGGACTGATTTTCGTCTGGCTGCAGCGCCGCGCGGTATCGCCACCTCGGCTCTCTTTGGCGCTAGCGCCCTGCGTGGCCTACCGCCACTGACGTCTCTCCTCTCCTTTTCACCCTGTCGGTGGCTCTCTCTGCGAGTTTCCCTCCTCTTCCCACCAACGCTTCCATCTCGCTCGGTTTACCCTTTCTCCCGTCGGTCGTTCTCGTTCATCCCTGTGCGGCCCACATCCGCGCATCGTTGGGTGGCATGGTATACCATGCGGTACAACCCCCTTCCGCCGTTCTCGTCGGGTTTCCCTCTTCGTACCGCTGCTATAGTGCATGCCAACATCGCCGGAGAAGAGAGAATCGTTACTATGGCGAGATCAATATGATAGGACGGCGCATGCCTCGGTATCCTTATACTTAAACCCTTCGCCGCTACACGCACCGGACTCTCTCGCTCCGCTTCCAGCTGCTCATTGGATGTCTCACTCTTTCGCTCGGGGCTCTCCTTCTTCATCCTTTGGCCACCCCCTCTCGCGAACGTCGCGTTCTTTCCGTCCCTCTTGTGACGCATGCTGGCGAACGTGGTGTGCCAGTCCATAGGTGCGCGCGGCGTTGACTTAAGTCACTTCAGTCAACAGAGAACCGTATGCGGAAGGATACCGTCATCTCGGAGTCCTCTTAACGCCCCGATGCTCCGATTCGCCTTTGTGTCGATCTCCGTTCCGAGCCACCGTTTCGACTCCTTTCTTCGTACCTGAGCCACCGTGACTCCTCCTCCCCCCGCGCAAGTCTTCGACTCGTACGTGGACGCGAGATGCAGGGGAGCTCGAGGAATTACTCTCGCGAAGATTTCCCTCCTACGCGATTGATCCCGATCCAGGGATCTCGCGTCCCGTTGAGGCTTCGTTCAGTTTCCGTCGGGATCGTTGAATCAAAGCTTCTCGAATCGAGCGAGTCTCGATCCCCGTCGCTTGCCTCCTTAATCGCTGGTGATCCCACGCCAAAGTCGCATTAATGTCGCACTTTACCGCATTTGTGTTGAAACGTGGACAGCGGGAAAGCGCTGCCTCGCATGGTATAATTATAGTTGAGTTATAGCTATGAGATTTGATAAGAGAAGCATTGATATAGTTTAGAAGTCGGAAGTTTAGTGAAATTGTAGTTGGTGTGAGTTCAATCGCGATGCTATTTTTTATTCGTGATAGATAGTGATTCTAGGTGGAACTCCGATTTTCCATATTGTCGTTGGCATTTATAAAGCAATAAATGATGTTGATTGAGGAAATGACAATATTGACACTTCAACTACCAGCCTATTTAGAAACAGTCTTAATGTAGAATATTGTTGTTTCCAATACTCTACTATAGAGTATTCCGTAATCTTCAAATTAAGTAAGTTGTGAAGGGAACTTTTTTTGATAAATCAATTGTTAAAAGTCATGTCCTATAGATCAGAGTACTTCTCAGCATCATTCGGTCCCAAAATTAAAGTAACTAGGTCTCCATCTTTTCCCTTTGTGGCTGGCAACCGTGGAAATGACGGCGACGCAGAGAAAAGCTTCTAGGGCCCAAGTGAGATAAGTCCTGAAGAAGAAGAAAAAGAATAGGGTTCGTAGTAACAGTGGCTCCTCTCCACCTGGAAGAGCGCATTGGCGCAAGCATGCAATAGGGCACTGGTTGAATTGTCGTTGGCGTTCCTAGCCACTCTTATTGTGTACAGGAATGGGCGTGGAGATTTTAGTGGATAGGTTCTGCGCCAATGTGTAAGCGGTGCACAGAATCCCACACATTCCTCAGTATTTACGAGAAAACAGGTCTTCGAAAATTGCCACTACAATAAAAAAGGGACAACGGGTAGACGGTGGAAACCGTGATCACAATGACGTTATCAGTTTCGAGAAGAAATTATATACTTGAAGTGATGTACCAGAATCTTAAAGCATCGACTATTTGGATGTAGGAGTTCCTACAGAAACAAGTAGTTTAGAAATTTATCCACACTTGAATTTTTTTTCGATATTTTTTCGAAAGGTATCATTTGTAAAGATTTATTTGGAAACAGTAATTTGTGACATTAGGAAGTGCAGCATTAGTGCGGCAAATTGCGAGCGGCACTTTTGTTATTAATTTTTTATACGTTCATTTCCACTGTTCCAATTTCATTTCGTGCTGTTCCTCTCCTGACTTCCATATTTTATTCGTCCTATATCGAATTGGTCGGTCACGATGCTTAAATTGGGTAGTGTGCTTTCAATTGAATTCGTTCGAATCACTTAACGCTGCAATATTTGCGTAACATATTCTAGGGTAAATTATACGCAATCTCTAGTTTAACAACTACGCTACTTATCGATACAATTGGAGGGGTTTAAATCGCTCGAATTGTTTGACATTCAGAAAATTACAATCGAGCAAATGTGCGAATATATCTCGTACCATTTGTATTTCGTTAAAAGACTAAGTCCCAAAGCTTTCCGATAGAAAACCCTTTACTTAACGAAATTATTCAACAAAATGTAATTTAAATATATTTATGTAATTTGTGCTCTTTAGAATATTTTCCCAAACCCCTTTTTAACTTCTACTACCTTCTCACCATCATTTGTAACCTTATCGCCAATTATGTTGCTTGAACCAGTGCAGGAGCTTCTTCATGAAATCCCATTGGACGTTATTAAGCGTAAAAAGGTTTGTTGCTCCCTGTATCCGGATGTTTTCACGAAACATCACTCGGAATTTTTATTCAGCCGACGCACTCCTCGACCTCTCGCGCTGCTGCTATTTCTTCATTCCATTTTCCCCATTCGTTAGCTGCAAACCGACATACTTGATTCTCATTGTTCCCATTACCGATGCGCTCACGAGTTCGCCTCGAAAGAATCAACGATTCCTGAATCGCTTTGCGGTTAACAGCTCCCGAGTGGCGCGCCTAGCACACGCCGATACTTCTTAACGCTACGCTGCTCGATCTCCCTTTTGTTCTCTTTCTGCCGTGTCGATCTCCTCCTTCGTTCTACGATTCGTACACGAGTGCGAATACGAAAGCTTGGACGAGCTGTACTTCAAAAGGGGAAACGACGTTCGACGGACGTAGTTACGTGAGAAATCGAGCATCAATTAACTCGAAGGCAGAAGCTCCACTAAAACTGCTCGGGCTTCTCTCGGGTTTCGCGCCTGGAGAGTTGACCACAAAATGGTTGTCCCGTGTTTTACTAAATGAAGGGTTTATTGAATGGGGTATATTGTATTTACAAGATAAATTGAGTTTATGGAGTAATTTACTGTGTTTGATAGCGCAAAAGTGGACATTTTTGCATTGTGACAATATGAGTTGCTTGACGTGTATCAGGGAACTTTTGAAAGCAGTATCGAGCCAGTATAAAAGTTGTTAGTGTATACGGTCATTGAACACATTTGCCTAAATTAAGTGGTAAGCTTAACATTTCCAAATAAATGTTTCATTATGAAAATGTACATAAATAAACTTTACGCGTGTATATATTTACAATGAAAAATTGATACGTGAAACAAACATTGAAGCAAGAAGTTTACGAAGTCTTCATTCAATTTTGATTTTAGTGTTTCATTGAAAAATGTAAATATAATATATTGAGTGTTCGGCAACAGGTGCTCGAAACTTTTAAGAGAGGTTTTTACATGTCAAAATGAGACAAAAATCAATCATGACAGAATTACGTTTGGATAGTTAGTGCCCGCGTAATTAATTACTGGAAATACGCGTAGAGGGCGCAGAAATCCTTGACTCGTACTACTGCATGGCGCTTCCAATATGGTCGGACTTCATCGACCAGCTGAGGAAATTGAGACTCTGCACTCTGAGAATTCTGAGGCTTTTGGAAAGACTGTGGAATGGTCAACCATGTCAACTTTATTGTTTAAGTTGGATCTCTACCATTCCAGCTATGATGAGGCCTTAGTGGTGCCATCAAAACCACTTCAACCGGCACAGTTGAATACGCAAGGGCGCTAGCCCCTAGTATCTGGTTTCCAAAGGGCACATAGGCGAACATTTGACACAATGCAAGCACGCACTTGCATTCTTGTGTTTCTTTACTTCCCATATTACAAGGGAATAATAGTAACAGGAATACAATTAGAAAAGTTCACTGGCAATGTACATATTTTTATTAACATTTGTAAATAGTGTAAGTGTAATAACGTGGACTAAAGATATTTTATAAACTAGTAAACAAAACTTGAATTTATATTAAGCGTTACTGCATCATTTATTTATTTCTCTTTATTTCTCTAGAATGACTAATAAATATTGACAATACTCAAGCATTGATCTTTCTATCTTTGTATATCCTTTCATCGAAATATGAATGAAAGTGAAAATGAACTGATGCTGATTAGAAAATCAGCGTTCTGTTCGAATTAACATATAGTTATCCATGTCTCGAAGTTTCTCGCTTACGATTCCTCATATTGTAATCGTCATCGAACAGACATTTGTTTCTTCAACCCGAGTCGCATACTATCGACGATTATTACCTGAATATTCTCGATATTATCGATTACCCGATATTACCAGAGTCTCCCTGAGACGTTAAAGCGGCGTCGTAACCGTACCACAACAGAACGCTAATTAACCTGAATGCCAATGAGAGACGAGGCTCCGGGATTCAAACTACTGAACGGAGATTTTCGTGGCGTAATCAGCGATCTAAGATGCTTACCCGAACTTTGAAACGTATCGAGGAATCTTGATTGTTTACGTGTTAGTCAAACACTTTACTTGATTATTCTCTGGGATCTAAAGTTGAATACTACATGCAAAATAAAATAGAAATTCTTCACAACTCAGAGTACATTAACGATAACGTGATGTACCGATAAACTGAGATATAAATAAAAATAGATAACGGTACACTGGTCCCCCGACTGTTTGTCAACAATTTTCTGTCCAAATACTCAATTTTGTGGATAAAAGTTGCTACAATTTTTTAAACAATTGTCGTATAAAAAATTTTCAAAAAGTTAAAAAATTTACCAGGATGCATCGAAATATAGACCAACGCTAGAACGTATCCATACTGGAGGAAAATCCCAAATGGTAGTGAAAAAAGTGTTCAATTACGTGCGGAATGTCCCATACGCGAGGTCACTTTAAACGATGGCAATTTGCACAGATAACGATTGATGATTGACATCAGTCGACTATTCGTGACGATTACTGACTATATCTAATACTTCGTGTAAACTGCTATTAATTATTAACCGTTGCTGACGGTTAACGACACATGGATATTGTTAACAGTTGATAATGATTGCTGATAACTGTAAGGGTTTGATCGCGAGTGATGATGATTGGTGTCGATTGCTGTTTATTATTGTCCATAGAGATACATTGATGATAATAGATGTCTCTTGCTAATAGTCGATGATGGTTAATGTCGATTGATTTTGATTGATGTTCAACGACTGACACCACTAGCCAATAATTTTACTTCTGTCTGACTCTTTTCATACTTTTTAACATTAGGAATATTAATTTTTATGTTCTACATAAATACGTATATATATGCATACATATTTGCAATTACCCTCTCGTAGTCTTTCTAATTATCTTCTTCTCATTCAGTGTTTTTTTTTCAATTTCGAAGACAATCATTTTTTTTATATATTAGACAAAATTTGAGAAAATGAAAGTGAACGGATAATTAGTTTTAGCCATTATTGTAATTTTATATGCCTTCATATTCTTCATATGTATATCCTATAATTTGTACGATAAGACCATATTGCGATAAACTGCTGCATTTATGCGCCACCTCATGCATCGAATACGTACTACGTACACGAAGAGAACGCATCTCAGGGTAACTGAATAAAAAATCAATTACTTGTATGAGTTTCAGCTATTATCGAAGACAAATATTCTTCAGAAGTCAAAGTTATACATTCTTATGAAATCTTAACATACTATCAATCAAACCAAGTTTCTACATTATTAGCACTGATTTTGTGATTTCTCTTTTGAGGATCAATGTGTCGACTTCTTTCCGTACTCGATATCAAACGAAGAAAGAATCGTTTTCGACAGCATTAATTTGACAACTCATTTGGAATGTCATATTCCATTGAATAGTCACATCGATCCACTCGTTGTTTAAGGCGCGTGAATAACATTGCTTATGCAAACCAATCGTGAGATTCTGCAAGGTTCAATCGTCAATTATTTAAAATTTCACGCCAAGAATTCTCATTTACAAAAAAGAGTTACAAATTCGATACGTCACGAACGAACGCTTTTCGTGATCGTTCACCGTAGATCAAAGTGGCTTCCAATCACCGAGACGCTTTCATTAAAAACATTCTGAACCAGGTCATCGATGAGAACTTCGACGCTTTAGTTCGCCACTTTGCCTTTCAACTTCGCTACCGAGTGTCACGTACAGGGCGCTTTACTTAAAAGTGAATGCTATACGCGACGTTTTT